CTCTAAACCGGTTAATGGTTTAGGGGAAGATGGGGGATGTACCTCTAAACCGGTTAATGGTTTAGGGGAAGATGGGGGATGTACCTCTAAACCGGTTAATGGTTTAGGGGAAGATGGGGGATGTACCTCTAAACCGGTTAATGGTTTAGGGGAAGATGGGGGATGTACCTCTAAACCGGTTAATGGTTTAGGGGAAGATGGGGGATGTACCTCTAAACCGGTTAATGGTTTAGGGGAAGATGGGGGATGTACCTCTAAACCGGTTAATGGTTTAGGGGAAGATGGGGGATGTACCTCTAAACCGGTTAATGGTTTAGGGGAAGATGGGGGATGTACCTCTAAACCGGTTAATGGTTTAGGGGAAGATGGGGGATGTACCTCTAAACCGGTTAATGGTTTAGGGGAAGATGGGGGATGTACCTCTAAACCGGTTAATGGTTTAGGGGAAGATGGGGGATGTACCTCTAAACCGGTTAATGGTTTAGGGGAAGATGGGGGATGTACCTCTAAACCGGTTAATGGTTTAGGGGAAGATGGGGGATGTACCTCTAAACCGGTTGTTGGAATGTTGATATAGCTCATATGCTTATCGGTTGAAGTATTGATATAGCTCATATGCTTATCTATTGGAGTATTGATATAGCTCATATGCTTATCTGTTGTAGTAGTGATATAGCTCATATGCTTATCTATTGAAAAGTTTGTTTGATTTGATATAGCACTAAAATGTATATCATCATTGTTTGCGAAGTATGGAAGTAGTTTATGTGTTATTGATACAACACCAAAATGTGTATCCACCTTGGATTTCGAAAGTGTTCTAGTGATGAACTGTAACCTCATCAAATGTTTTGGCCAGAGTACTGAGCCTTGTTTTCAAACTCAAAGTTGAATAAAAAAAATGAAAAGTGAATTGTAACATAGACTTGGCTGTCATGGAAACGTAATAAGATGTAAATGGAAGTGTCAGTGTTGACCATCTATCAGGTACTAATTTCTTAGTCATTGTTCATAGTTGGTTTAGTATATTTCTACTGGGCTGTGGCTCACCCTATATGGGAACATCATTTTCAGGTACAGGTAGAATGCCACCTCTGAGGACATAGCTTGGGAGGCTAGAGGCAGACATACTTTTGTTGCCTTATTATTTCTTGATTGTATTTCATATAGATTTGAGCCTAGGACTTAATATGTATTTAAGCTAGCACTCTCTTTTGTAACCAAGTGTTAACTTGGAAAGCTGTAAGCCCGTAAGTCATTTGCTTCTGTTGTAACCATGTAATACTTTTGGAATGAAATACTCTGATGAATAGATGAATGTGGACTTTTATGTATCAATGTATGTCTCTATATGGATGGGTTTAATGTTGTTATTATGAGGGCGTTACAACTTGGTATCAGAGCGTACCGGGTTTGAATACTTTGGGTACGTGGGAAGTGATTAGTATCACAATGGGTTTGTCTCGCTTGTTAGAGACTTAGACGTAATGTTATGTACTTATGTGATAACATGTTTATGTGATTATTTGGGTATGGAATGTAGTTTCTTGGATGTTGATTGGATCCTTGGGTTTCTGGGAGTCCTGCTGGAAAGGCACTTGATCAATGCTGTTTCTGACCGGAACTCTAGTAACGCCTCGGGACTATCATTATTCGGAAATGAAATTCATAAGTGTTTATGTGTTTATGTGCTTACGTGGAGTGAATTACAGTTGTCCATGTGTTAGGACGTGAGTGTTTAGCTTCGGCACATATATGAGTGTGCTAACGTGTCTCCATTACTTTTACTAGGATGCCTAGGCGAGGAAGTTGCGATTTCCCTCCTTCCGCTCGGGAAGAGCTGCGGAAACAGTTTGTAGAGTTACGCCAAGGTACTACACCTTTGGTGCGGTTCAAAAGATGGTTTGCTAATCTGTCGAGGTTTGCTCCAGAATTGGTGGAGACGGAGGACTTATGTTGTTTCGAGTTTGAGAGTAAGCTGCGTGACGACATCCGTGTAAGGATAGGGGGGTCTTGGCTTAAAAGGTATAGTGTGCTTGTTGAGGCAGCTGCCCATGTAGAGGCTGCGGTGCTAGCAATGGGGCAGAGTGGGGAGGAAGCCATCTCGGCGACTCCTGTGACTCAGGGTGTTGGTAGGCCTTTTAAGAGGCAGAGGGTTTTAAACCCGCAACAGGGAGGTCGGGCTAGAACTACCCTTCCAGTGTCGGATTTGGGTTCGGGAGAAAGTAAGCAGAGGGGCATCATTTGTTTCAGATGTGGTCTGCTGGGCCACAAGGTTTCGGTTTGCCTACAGAAGAAGGGGGCAGGGTTAGCAGTTCAACCAGTAGTTGTACCACCAGGATCATCTAACCAGCCGGGTTTTGGGCCGATCAAATGCTCAGTGGGGGGGCAGTTGTTGGGGTCTTCATCAGCCCAGATTCTGAACCAGTCTCGTGCTCAGGCACCGCCTACTTGTTGGATGTGTAATCAGCCGGGTCATATTCGACGCTTCTGTACTCAGCCGGGGGCTTCTTTAGGGGTTTTGCAACCTAGCCAGGCTCAGTTTCATTCGACTGGGCAGGTACAGTATCGTTGTGGGGGACTAGCAGGCCAGAGTGTGAGGGCCTCAGTAGAGTCGAGTTCCCGAGCCCCAGTTGAGGAAGTTTGTAGTTGTTCCAGGTGTGGACAGAGGGGGCACGTCAGTAGTTCTTGTCCATGGCATGTAAACTCGTAGGTTATCTTATGTTCGGGGATGACCAACTTCAGCGGTCCAACAAGGGACGGTAGTAGTAGTAATACTGATGGGATGGTTTTGTTTTGACTAATCCGTTTTGTAATCAGTGGATTATTGTTTTGTGATCATTGGGTTCTGTTGTGTAACCAATGTGTTTTGGGAATGTTGAAACATCTAAACTGTTTGGTTCACTTCCATCATCTAATCTAACCTACATACAGAAACATCTCTAAAATACTGAGACAATGAATCTGCACTTCTTCCCTACAAGATAAATGTGTCAGTATACTTAACTTAAGAAAGAACTTGCAGGTTTTAACAAAAGAAAAATTAAACCAAATTTATTGCTGAATTTCCACTAAGATTAAAATTTCAGTATTGGCAAATCCCATTTATTTTATATCTCAGCATCACTGTCAACAAACATACCACCAGTTTTGTCATGAAACTAGAATTTTGTACATCTATGAAGATCCAACATAAATCTGGAAAAAAAAAAAAAAGAAGAAACCTACAATAGAATTATTAAAAATATTAAAATTACTTGTATTAAATGAAAAAAAATTGAAAAAGAAACCAATAATTACATGATAATATAAAAATTCCTATATAGAAAAAATAATTTCTCCATAATAAAAATATTCTTGCATTCATAACTACACATCAACAAAATTACCACCACTACATAATGTTCTATAATACATATATAATGTTTAAATACATAATGTTGTTCATAATTCAAAATAATATAAACCAAAATTACAAGTTTTGCTTATCATTCTCTGTGGGTAACAAAAACAAAAATTAGTCGCATTCTTCATAGACATGCATTTCACAAGAAGCAAACTCCTACTCGAGAAATATCTAAAAACAAAAAATAAATATAATTAATGACAATGTAATTATGTTTTAATAGGTTAATTACAAAAAAACATAAAAATTTGACTACTATACAATTACAAAGATAATTAAGTAAATAATTTTGCTTAGACCGAAATTCGGCTCTAACTCCCAAACCGGGAACCCGATTCGAGTCCTGTCTTCTCCCACAAGTCTTTTGTGCCTAGGCGGTCGTGTGTGCCAAGTTTCGTGCTACTTCGACGCCGTTTGGTGATTTTGGGGCATTAACACTTCGAATTCTAAGTTTCTTAAGAAACTAGTTTGTCTAGAGTGAAATCCGACCATAACTCCCAAACCGGGAATCCGATTCGAGTCTCATCTTTTCCCACAAGTCTCTCATGCCTAGGCGGTCGTGTGTGCCAAGTTTCATGCTACTTCGATGCCGTTTGGTGATTTTAGGAGCTTAACACCTCGAATTCTAAGTTTCTTAAGAAACTATAGTATGTCTAGAGTGAAATCCGGCTCTAACTCCCAAACTAGGAACCCGATTTGAATCCCGTCTTCTCTCACAAGTCTCTCATGCCTAGGCGGTCTTGTGTGCCAAGTTTCGTGCTACTCCGACGCCGTTTGGTGATTTGGGGCATTAACACCTCAAATTCCAAGTTTCTTAAGAAACTATAGTTTGTTTCTTAAGAGTGAAATCCGACTCTAACTCCCAAACCGAAAACCTGATTTGAGTCCTGTCTTCTTCCACAAGTCTCTCGTGCCTAGGCGGTCATGTGTGCCAAGTTTCGTGCTACTCCGACGCCGTTTGGTAATTTTGGGGCATTAACACCTCAAAGTCTAAGTTTCTCAAGAAACTAGTTTGTTTCTTAAGAGTGAAATCCGACTCTAACTCCCAAACCGGAAATCCGATTCGAGTCCCGTCTTCTCCTACAAGTCTCTCGTGCCTAGACGGTCGTGTATGCCAAATTTCATGCTACTCTGACGCCGTTTGATGATTTTGGGGGCATTAACACCTCAAATTCTAAGTTTCTTAAAAAAGTAGCACTACTACAAAAACAGATAAAGATCACACTTTTTTTGTGTAATGTATGTTATTTAATCACACCTTTTAAGTTGTATTAAAGTGTGATCTTTGAGAGTGTGATTGAATGTGGTCATTTTTAATCACACCTTTGAAGTGTGCTTAATAACATTTAGATCACACCTTTTAAGTGTGCTTAATAACATTTAGATCACACCTTTTAAGTGTGATTAATAACATTTAGATCACATTTTTTAAGTGTGATTAATAACTAATAAAACTTGTGATAATAAACATTTAGATCACAGATTTTATGTGTGATTAATATCTACTTTACTGCAGGCAGCCAACTATATATCTGGGTCCACTGCTTGCTTTAACAATCACTAAATTACACACAAGCAATCAATCAATACCACATTTAAGTTCAAACCATCATAGAAGAGTTTACTAAGAAAAAGTAAGTTTAAATTCATTACAATAAATTAATCGACCAGTTTAATAACTAAGAGCACAATATTGAATATTCCATTTACAAGCAGCCCATAATAGACTAGAGCTCATATTTTTTTGCATGACACGTATCAAGACTTCGGATTCTAAACTGAGCTAAAATGATTTCACAAACAATTTCCAGAACCCCCCTCCAAAAAAAAAATGGAAATAAAGAACAAAAGAAATGAGTAATTACATCGCTCATTGTCAAGAGGCCTGAGAACTTCTCCGATTATCTGCCCAATGCTCTGAAGCAACTTCAAATCGTCTTCTATCTTATTGAACTCTTTCTTGGAAGCTCGCAAGCTCTCTCTCACTGCATGCTAAACATAATTAGAAAATTGTATATGTGCCTAAGTATGAAAACATAATTTTATTCAAGTAGTCAAAGGACATCTACAACCCTTGATTCAAACTTATATCGAATTTAAAAAGCAAAATGTAGGGATTAGATTTGTTAAATCTCTTTGTATGTATTTAATATACATATAATAAGACTAAAACACCAAAATATTACACTTAATCAGATGCAAATCAGTCATGGACAGGGCTCCTCGAACAGAGATGTACCTGTGGGGAGAACATCTCTTTGTATGTATTTAAGAAACCAAGTAAGTATACCTTTTCCCCTGTGACGAGCAGTACGCTTCCATGGGAGAAATCCAAGGGACCCATGCAGGGGATGCTCAAATTTCCTGTGCGGCATCTTCTTTTCCTTCACAAATAAATGGTTAACGTTATTATTGAAAAAATTAACATTAAAAGTCCTTGCAATCTACTATTTTGTAATCCTTGCTCTAAATTAAGTGTCCAAAACTTCCAATCAAACATAAGCATAATCAACTAGGAACATGGAGATATTATTGCCCATACAATAATCATCCGAAGCATTTCTAATAGTGATTATGTGCACACATGTATAAACTTGCTATGAAATATAACTCGAAAGAGATCATACAAATCAAGACATTCTCCTATGTGATTTTTCATTGAAAAAAATTGAAATCCATATGTTATATGAGTTCTACTGAAATGAGAATGTGACTTGGAATTTAGAGACATGTATTTGCATAGAAATGTTACAGATAACATTAAAAACCAAAATTTTAGTTTTGGAATTGATGAATGTATACGGATCTGTCTGGTTTCAAACGAATCAACACCGCATCATTATCAAATCAATCATCTGTTTAAACACACAACAATCAAAAATCAGTTTAAAATTTAAGCAAACATTAGAAAGCATGTACATGGAAACTACTCAACAACATTAGTTATTAACTTAAGCAACTATTAAAATTCTGTGATAATGTAGATCTTTTGTATACCTGTGGATTTGTTCCCATATAAGGTGCTGGAACATCAATGTGCACTCCAATAAGATTGTGTATCTTCTGGGCGAAAACTCTGGTGAGTCATTCTAGCTCAGACATGCTTAATTCCCTTGGATTGCATCCTATCCCCCCTTTATCGCCACTGTATGGTATATTGGCCACTGCGCTCTTCCACGTCATTAGTTGTGCTAAAGCAGAGTATAATTCTTATACTTTTTGTTACAAAACTAGATAGAAATATCAGTGCATACCTATTATAGAAGCACAATACATATCTGCATAAGATTCGCGTCCCGTGAGCAATTCCCACATGACAATCCCAAATGAGAAAAAATAATCTACAATGCAAAAAAAATATAAAAAAAATAAATAATAATAATAATAATATACACAAAAGAAACTAAAAGACGAAATTAAAAACCTCTTAGAGAGAGAATGAAGTACAATTATGTAAACTAAATATTTCTAAAGGTTATGCTCAGAATAATCTTACCTTTTCCGTAACCATGTTACTCTTTCCACTAGGAAGTTCAGGTGCCATCCAAGGTAAGGTTCCACGAACACCCCCTGACATTGAAGTGTGCTGTTTTACCTTTGATAAGCCAAGGTCACCAATCTAAAAAGAAATGCAGACAATGGATGAGCGATCACATTTTGTAATAGAAGCACCATGTAACAAGAGTTAAACATGAACATGTATCAAGTTATCTAACATGAACATGTATAATGAGATGAAGATAAACTTATCCAAAAATGAGATGGTGATAATAAACAGATGCAAGCTAGGTACATGATATAAATGTACTAATCATGTGAATGAGACGGTGAATAGCAACCTGTAATCCCCTAGACAAAAGACAAAGGATTCAAGAGTCTGACAACAAAGAGCCAACAATTCATATTTTTTAATATCTAATGTAAAACTAGAATTTCCTAAACAACCTATCTAACCTTAAGAAAAACATTAATCTTCATATTGTGCATGCATATTAACTCTATGAACACTAAAGAAAACCAAAATCTGTGTTTTTTATCTACAAAAGTGTTTGAAAGTTTTCAAAATTAACCCGTATAAGCATCACAAGAACTTATTTTACAGATAAAGACTGCAATGATTAGATGAGGAAATTCATTACCAAGTCCTATTTTTGAAACCCATAATCATCTCATGTTCCTATAGTTAGAAGAAGAATAAAAAAATGAATTCTTGACATTTAAAAAAGAGATAAACGAGAAACATAACACCAAAAATACTCAGTATCTAATGTAAAATACTCACTGTTTTTGACATTTAAATGAATTTTTTTAGTACTCAATATCTAATGTAAATCTTGAGTAATGAAGCAGACAGTAAAGAAATTTAATAAAATGGAAGCCAAGAATAGATCCCATTTACACAGTGCACATACCACAACAGAAAAATATTTATTTATTTTCTTGAATAAAGAGAACACAATCTTTCCAAAGAGAAGCAAAGTTCCATTTTCACATAGGGCATACAAAACATAACATCAATTAGCCACTTAATGAGGCAACAACAGACTCTCAGTTGTTAACTAATATCAGAACCCTAAAAGAATTGATTCATTTTGTAGGTAAACTTAAGATTCAATTAAAAGTATTACACATCTCAATTCATAAATACTACTGGCATTACTAGATGGATCTGAATTCCCCTTAAATAAAAACAAGCATCCTTCATAATTACAGTAAAGAAGTATTACACATCCCAATTTGATTTATACTATTAACAAATCTGATATTTAAGCTTGCAATTGGAGTCAATTTTATGTAAATATTAGAGACCAAATGAAAATTATGAAAATAGATTCTTATCTGATTTTGAATCTAAATACATCAACATGAAAAAAATTACAGAAAATTCTCAAATATAACCAAAATTTGACACTTAAATCCTGATCAACCATCAATGTCTTTGTCTGCCTAATTGAACCTAGGTTAGAGTATAGATCAATACAGTAAAGTTGTAAATGTTAGTAAATCATTGATACCAGAGATGTTCTTTAGATGATAATAGTTGGAAGTTACAAAAGCAAAAAGATCAAAGTGAATGAGATTCTATTGAAAAGAGAGCAGACCAAAAATAGGAAGTGAAAAGATTAAAAAGAGTAAAATTCAACTGAAGAGAGGCTAGATCGAAGATCTAATGGAGAGAGAGAGAGAGAGGACCTGGGGGTGGTAGCGATGGGAGAACCAGACTTGAGGAGGAGCTTCAACAGGTATAGTGCATCCAATGCCATCGCACTCGAGCTTTTCTTGGAATAGAAAAGCCTATCATTTCATCAGCTGGTTTTCTCTTGCTCTGACTCAATCGGTCTCGGTCTTGGTCCCAGTCCCTCTCACGGTCCCAATGATCTTGATCCTTCTTCACTCCTCGGTCTCGTAACCCCGCCGATTTGTGCAACTTAACCGAACTATCTTCGTCTACAAAATCACCAGAATCAGAATCAAGAAAAACAAAAAAAAAAAAATCAAGAAATTTCAACCAAATTGATGCAAGAATTGATGGATTATAATTAGATCTGAACAAGTGATCGGAAAGCAACCCTAGTGAATCTCTCAAGGAGCATGAGGAGACAGAGAGAAAGCCCTAGATCTAGGACAGAGAGAAAAAATGATAGAGAGAATAGGCAAATTTTACTTTAGCAAAATATGTGGTAATAGGCAAATTTTGTTGTAGTGGAATTTGGGAATTGTATATTTTATATAAAAATCAAATTAAAATATTTTTTACAATCACACCTATTTAGGGAGTGTGATTAAAAAATATATAAATAATCACACTTATTAAAAAAGTGTGATTAAAAAATAGTAGTGTATATATAATCACACTTTAATTAAAAGGTGTGATTAAAAAATATATAAATAATCACACTTATTAAAAAAGTGTGATTAAAAAGTAGTAGTGTATATATAATCACACTTTAATTAGAATGTGTGATTAAAAAATATATATATAATCACACTTATTTAAAAAGTTAATTAGAAGGTGTGATTAAAAATATATATATATAATCACACTTAATTGAAAAGTGACATAAAAAATAAATATTATCACACTCAATCAAATTAAGTGTGATTAAAATATCAATCTAATTTTTTTTATCACACTTTCAATAAAAGTGAGATATTTTTTTTTATCAAAGTGTGATCTTTAACTAATTTTGTAGTAGTGTAGTTTGTTTCTTAAGATTGAAATCTGACTCTAACTCCCAAACCGAGAATCCAATTCAAGTCCCGTCTTCTCCCACAAGTCTCTCGTGCCTAAATGGTCGTGTGTGCCAAGTTTCGTGCTACTTCGACGCCGTTTGGTGATTTTGGGGCATTAACACCTCAAATTCTAAGTTTCTTAAAAAACTAGTTTGTTTCTTAAGAGTGAAATCCAGCTCTAACTCCCAAACCGGAAACCTGATTTGAGTCCCGTCTTCTCCCACAAGTCTCTCGTGCCTAGACGGTCGTGTGTGCCAAGTTTCATGCTACTCCGACGCCGTTTGGTGATTTTGGGGCGTTAACACCTCGAATTCTAAGTTTCTTAATAAATTAGTTTGCCTATAATGAAATCCAACCCTAACTCCCAAACCAGGAACCCGATTCGAGTCCCATCATCTCCCACAAGTCTCTCGTGACTAGGCAGTCCTGTGTGCCAAGTTCCGTGCTACTCCGACGCCGTTTGGTGATTTTGGGGCATTAATACCTCAAATTCTAAGTTTCTTAAGAAACTAGTTTGTTTCTTAAGAGTGAAATCCAGCTCTAACTCCCAAACCGGGAGCCTAATTTGAATCCCGTCTTCTCTCACAAGGCTTTTGTGCCTAGGCGGTCGTGTGTGCCAAGTTTCATGCTACTTCGACGTCGTTTGGTGATTTTGGGGCGTTAACACCACAAATTTTAAGTTTCTTAAGAAATTAGTTTGCCTAGAGTGAAATCCGGCCCTAACTCCCAAATCGGGAACCTAATTCAAGTCTCGTTTTCTCCCACAAGTCTCTCATGCCTAGGCATTCATGTGTGTCAAGTTTCGTGCTAACAATGGAAAATCCTTTGTCTTTCTTTCTAATTATGTGTTAATCATATTCGAATTTTATTATATATATGTTGTGTGAAAATTTAACTATCAAACAATTTAATTTATATCGAACCTGTCTATTGGGATCCATACTCGCCCCCTATGATACAAAGGCCATCACAGTAATATAGTAAACCATCAATATGCATAGAACATAATTTGCTAGAAATCACATTAATATCAACAGTAAATGGAAAACTACATCAAAGCATGCACACATGCAACTCTAGATGTAGTAGCAAGCAAATAATAATCATGATCATATTTAGAACCATCTAGATATGGTAGCAAGCAACTCCAAATCATTTATTTGAAGCATTTGTTCAACATGAAGTTATTCTAGGATATTAAAAAAAATAGAAGGGTTATATGCCAAAATGACCAACACTGCAGCAAATTTGAACCCCTCAAAAACAATGTCATGACCCACTTGAAGATTGTATCACCTGTTAGTAATCAAATAAATCATAATGTAAATAAACATATCACTTAGTTCTAGAGTTTTATGATGGTAAAATAGGTGAAATCAACATTGGTCTTTCTCTCTTTGGACAGGGAGATATTTTAAATGTTTAAGTACTTCAAGGCCTATTCTTAGAATTAATTTCATATTTTTTGAGACATTCTTTTGATCTTGAAATGAACATTTAAAATTTTTAGTTAATAATTTCCCCCCCCCCCTTTTTTTTGTTCTCTTTTTGGTTTAATTGTAATTGTTCTAAGAATCATAAATTAGTCTAAAGTAACTCTCTGTTTTTTTTTTTTCTAATTATATTTTTGGTAATAATAGCCACATAAGAATATATTGGATAAATTGATAAAATGTTTAACTATTGTTTTTTTTTCTAATAACAGCCACATGCATCCACATACATTCACTTCAACTTGCCTCATTCAAAAATTTAAAATTACACATCACAAACAAGAAGAAACGATGATCTAGACCCTTTTATTAATATGGAAAATCATATTAGCAATTTAGCATACATTCTAGAAGAAAATATTTAACATTGATTTTTCTTTAATTTTCTTAAAGAATATATTGTATAAATTGATAAAATGTTTAACGATTGTTTTTTTAAAAAATTGTATTAAAGACTCCTATATATAAATCCACAATAATTGACAAATTAATGTTTATAAGTTATAAATCCAGAATGGTACACCAAAAGGTAGTGGTATGCTCATGATAACTAATTGATACACAGCTACTTCACCTAAAATTCCGATCGAATATGAGAAACTTAACCTTCTAGGTTGGAGAAAATTCGGAACAGACGTACAAACTACTAGCTTTTCCTTTGAAACTTATAATCAAACATGAAGAGTGAATTGATTGCAATATTACCTGACTACTATCCCCATCTACAAGATCACTTGAGGCAATTCTATGCTCATACTCAACCAGAGGCCCTGCTTTGCTTACTTCTACAATCAAATCAAATTAAACTCAAATCAAAATGTGAACATCATGCTAAAGATTATTTAAAAAAATTTAAAAGGACAAAAAGCCAACCTCCTCGTCACGAAGCCAAACCCTTAGCTCCTTCCACTTATCTTGTCATATATAACCTACCAAAGCAGCTCAAATTTGCGCATAAGAATCTCTCTTTACCTTCTTTTGTTTTCCCCACAAAAATCATTGCAATATTAAAACCCAAAGAACAAAATATTTTAACTCAATTCTCTGAACCCCACAGAAATTCTTATTTCATCTTCAGAATTTTAACTAGCAAAACTGGAAAAAGAACCGAAGTTCACAAGGGGCCAAAAAAAAAACCTTCACATCAAATAATTTGAATTTTGCATCAAACAAAACATTATCTACAAAACTAAAATCTCTGTAAACCTTGTTACAATTATATAAAAAATAAAAACCCATATCTATTTCATAGATTTGTAATAGACCAAACCCAAAGAATAAAATTTGAACTCAATTTTGAAGCCCACAGAAATTCATATTTCAACCAAAGAATTTTCACAAGCAAAACTTGAAAATTAACAAAAGTTCACAAGAATAAATAAATAAATATGAAAATGAAAATAACCCTTCACACCAAATAACATAAATTTTACATCAAACAAAACATTATCTAGAAAATTAAAATCTCACTAAACCCTAAACCCATATATATATATATATATATATATATTTCACAAATAGATGAAAATGTAAATTCATACCTCAACCATCTCCACATTTCCAGCTCATTCGAACAACCCAGCATGAGTAGCACTGTCGACATTGAAAGCTAAGTTTCCAACGAAGAGTTTGAGAGCATGAGAGAAACTGGGTTCCGCTGCATCACTTAATAGGTCCTCTTTTTGCTCGTACTCGGATGAAACCACGACGTTTTGTATGAACTTGGAAGGCGAAAAGGCTGCTCGATGCCGTCGTTTGTCGCTCATCGGAGAGAGAGAGAGAGAGAGAGAGAGAGAGAGAGAAAGAGCCATAAGAAGAGATTAGGGATTTTTGGTTGAAGGGGATTTTTGGCTTTTGACAAGAGATTGGAGAGGGGGGAATCCGAGCGAGAATGGAAAAAAGGGGGAGTGGAAAATCGAGCGGGAATATTTTTTTTTTTGGTTTCCGTCACAAATAAATATTTAAACAACAAAACGATTCTTTTTTTTTAAAAAAAAAAATTTTTTGTTAAAATAATTTTTTTTTTGTAGTTAATGAATTTTTTTTTTGATTTTTCATTTTTTTTAAGTTACTAAGGTTGAAAATTTATTTGTTTCATTTTTATTTTAATGAATAAAAATTTATTATTATTTTTTAATTTGGTAGAAGTAGGGGTAATATTTTAATGAAAAATATTTTCCATTTGGTGGTGGTGGTGGTGGTGGTAGCGAAGGAGATTAGTGGTGAAGTTGTGGTAGTGGTAGTGGTAAAGTAGATGAAGTGGCAAGGGTGAAGGAGAGGTAATGGTAATGGTAATAGTAGTGGTGGTGATGGTGGTAGTAATGATAGTCGTAGAGGTGGGGTGGCAACAGTGGTAGTAGTGGTGGTAGTGGAATGACATTTGCAGTAGTGGAATGGCATTTGCAGTAGTGGTGAAGATGGTAAAGAAGATGGGTGGTGTGAGAGAGATGAGGGAGAGACAGATAGAAAAGAGAGATAGAGAGACAGAAACAAAGACAGAGTGATAAGCGAGAGAGACAAAGTGATCGCTAAAAGTGCATTTTCTTGTAGTGTCTTAATAAATCGAGAGGGAGAGCTCAGTAAATAGAGAAGGGGGGAGGGAGAGAGTGAGCAAGGCGAACATAATGAGGGAAAGACAGATAGACAGACAGACAGACAAATAGACAAGCAGACAGAGAGAGAAAGAGAGAGAGAAGAGTGATAAGTAAGAGAAAGAGAGAGATAGAAAAATAGAGAGAAACAAGAGATGAGCGAGAGATAGACAAAAAAAGAGAGAAAGATAGCGAAAAGAGATGAACGAGAGAGAGACATAGAAAAAGAGAGAGATAGAGAGAGAAGAGAGATGAGCGAGAAGAGAGAGAGACAGAGAGATAGAGATAAAGAGATGAGCAAGAGAGACAGAGAGAGAAAAAAGATAAGAGAGATAGAGAGAAGAGAGATGAGCGAGTGAGAGAGAGAGATAGAGAGAAGAAA